TTTATATAATAAAATTACGGGGTGGTCGGATACTTTTTTAAACCCTTTTCACGAACTAATTTATGCCAACACCATATTGTAGATATATGTAATCTGTTACGTCGAGCACATTTTATTAATGAAATAATATACATTACAATGAAGAAATTTGTCCTTTATTACATGTAAAGATTCCGATTGGAAATTTGCTTTTTTGGACTATTTGCTAAATGTTTCCGTCAATACCAAACCGAACTTTCGAAGCTTTTGTAATTTAAAGATTTTGATATCAAGTAAAATCTACTTGTAAAGTAAAAAAGGTTTTATTTAAGAAAACGTTACTTTTTTAGTAAGGACTCTTTTCATTTGACGTTACACACCTTGGGCGGTCGGATATTTATGGTAGGTGCCTGTTGGAATCCAAGTCGCCGGTAGAATGTTGCATCTAAATGTTCTCATCAAAGATACAGATGACATTAATCGTCTCTACCATGTACGTTCTATTGAAATCCCGATACAACTAGTTGATGAAGAAGATATGTCACAGTTTGTGGAGGCATTACGGTATTATTTTTTTTATTTTTTGACCCAGAATTGCAAATGGTAGTTGACTAAATTATTTACTTTATTATATAGAATAACTTAATTGTCAACATTTCTTTGCCGATGAATGCACCAAAAACTAAATCAAAGCGCCAAAAAAAACAAAAGTTCTCAGATTGAGATGATAATTAATTATTAGCATGAGAATCTTGTACTATCACATGTATTTCTTTATCACTCAAGTGGTTTGAGATTTTCATACATTTGAAAAAAAAATTAATAAATCATTACTATCTATAATGGATTCTCCTATAATGGGAAAAGCTATTACCTTTGTTTATTATATTATTCATCTTTAATACTAAATTGATAGCACATTTATATAATAAATTCTTTTATTTATCAACAACAAAATATTGATATACTTATCATCAGCATCATTGTTATTACTACTACTACTGCCACCATTACAATCACCACCATTATCATCATCATCATTATTATTACTACCGCCACCATCACCCATCACCAACATTATTATTATCGTCGCCACCAGTGTTATCAATCAATTTCAATTATATTAACACTTGCTTCATCATCACTTTCTTCATCCAAATCACTATTCTCATCACCCACACCCTCATCACCCACACCCTCACCATCATCTTCTTCTTCATATGATGATAGTTCAGGGTTTTTTGTGAAATTTTTAACCTCAGTATTATAATCATAATTATAATTATTATCATTGTCATTGTCATCCTCAACAATCACAGCAACATCACTGTCAGAAAATCTATTATTATTATTATAACCACTACTGCCACTATCTTCTTCTTCTTCTTCACTGCAATTACCACCACCACCATCACCACTACCTTCTTCATTACCACTATTATGATAATACTGTGAATTATCAACATCATCATTAGATTCAAAACTTTGAAAAATACCACGATTTAATAGTACTTCCATTTGATTTTGAATATCTGATGATGTTTGAATGCTTTGCGTAGAAGCAAAGTTATTGTTCATAATTTGTGCAATTCCTGATAAGTCATCATATCCAACTTCGATTCTTTCTTCCATGTTTAAAAAGTTCATTATAGGATTTTGAGAAGGAGAATAATAATCATTATTGGTGTTTCTATCAACAATATCATAATAAATGGAGTTATTACTATTATCATTTATATTACTACTGTAATATTCATCACTAGCACTATTAATAGCATTATTACTGGAGTCAATACCGACATCATTATGACTGTTACTACCATCACTACTGACAGCATCAATATTCCCTCCATTATTATCATTTACAATGTTGGTTTCAACATTTTTCTTCTTGATAAATGATTCACTTTCTATTTTTGATATATCATCTAAAGCCATAAATGTTAAAATCAAATCTGATGAAATTGTGTTATTTGTGTTATTTGTTGACCCTAACATTGTATCATTCTTAGTCTGTGATGTAGTTATGTCATGATAATTTTCTTTTAAACATCCATCAATATCAATGGACAATAAAGAATTTTCGAACGTTTGCATTTCTTCAATATTTTTTACCGCATGTCTAAGCTCTCTGGAATATGGATTGGTGAATATTGTTGATCTTGAAATGGTCCGTGAATCAGTTGTTCTAAACTGGCTATTGGGAACAGTAAATTGCCGTCTTTTATAAGATTGTACAGGCTCAAGCTCATCAACAGACAAACCATGTTTGAGTTGATTACTTGACCTTGTATCTAAATCAACATCTTTGTGTGTTTTATTTTTCTCTGATGATTGATTGAGTTTCGCATGTGGGTTCCTGATTATACTACTGTAGCCAAATTGGTTGGGTTTAAAAAGTTTTATACGAGGGTTAATTCTTGAAAACCTTTTTTCTTTTCCATTAAAAGAGTTTTGTGAATCGCCATTATTGTTATTGTTGACAGTGCTTGCATTCATTTTTGTTTTTATAATTTTATGATGTCAGTCAAAAATTTTTATTCTTAATTTAGTTTTGTTAAACTGAAAGCACTAATTAAATTGAAGATCAGTGTTTGATTTTGTCACTGTGATAAAACATGATTATATGGGGCATGCTCGCAACAAAACCAGACAAAGCGAACATTGTCTTACTGAAGATTTCAGGGATCAATAATATTTGTTTGACATCACAATTGTAATGTGTAATGTGATAGTTTCATCTTTTATATATAGCTGCCCCTATATAAAAACAATAATATGAAACTCATTTATATCAGGTCTACTATGGAACCCAAAAATTACAGCACTATTAGAGGTATTTTGAAGAAAGAACAAGGTGAAAAAGTTGCACCTTACATTTTCAAAATAAGTGATACTCAGGCATTGGAAACTTATCTAAGAAAAGAAAGGATTACCTACAAATTTCAATGGCCATTTTATTAAATGAAAAATTGGGATTCAACCCAGTCTTTTTGTCAAATAATTGTTTGAAAACCTTCCATTTCATGTGAATGTTTTTTGTTAACAGTGCTCGCAACAAAACCAGACAAAGCGAACATTGTCTTACTGAAGATTTCAGGGATCAATAATATTTGTTTGACATCACAATTGTAATGTGTAATGTGATAGTTTCATCTTTTATATATAGCTGCCCCTATATAAAAACAATAATATGAAACTCATTTATATCAGGTCTACTATGGAACCCAAAAATTACAGCACTATTAGAGGTATTTTGAAGAAAGAACAAGGTGAAAAAGTTGCACCTTACATTTTCAAAATAAGTGATACTCAGGCATTGGAAACTTATCTAAGAAAAGAAAGGATTACCTACAAATTTCAATGGCCATTTTATTAAATGAAAAATTGGGATTCAACCCAGTCTTTTTGTCAAATAATTGTTTGAAAACCTTCCATTTCATGTGAATGTTTTTTGTTAACAGTAAGTTGGTTATTTTATTTTTAAAATGGCTTTTTCTTGGTTCTATTTTATTGACTATTTGATCAATTTTTTGATTTATAATAGAGAATTGATTTTGATAAATTTTATAGTGAAATAAGAAACCAAGAAAGAGTCCAATTAACAACCCACAAAAAAATTCATTATTGAATGTAAGCATTTTTTTAAATGTTATTATGGATGAAAGTACTGTGAAAATATTTATTGATTATTTGATTGTTTTTGAACCAAAAAATAAAATTGTGTTTATTAGAAGTTGTTATTTGAATATTTTTTTTGCCCAGAAATAAATGTGTAAATGTTCAGATAATTTATTACAATTATTGAACAATTTTAATGAACAAGTAATTTAATTGTTGTAAAATTACAAAAGTTAAAGTTGAATTAACTTTATATCTTTAAATATTTGTCCAATTTCATCTTCGTCTTTGTCATCATCTTTCTCATCATCGTCAATTTTATTTTCATTATATCTTAATAGATTGCTTGTACTCAGTACATCTTTATCAAGTAATTTTAATAATTCACTCTCTTCTTCTTCAAGACATGAGAAAACCTTGATTTCTTTTTCATTATTATTTAGAAAACTTTCTGATTGAATTTTAATATTTTTTAAAAGATCCTCAAAGTCTTCTGGTATAATCACTATAATAAATAGCAATAAAAGAATTAATAACATAATCTTTAAATTATCATCATTGTTATATAACCAATTTGTTATTAACCTTCCATGTAAACGTGTGTAGCCCAATTTCCCTCAACATGTAGTTTTGTTCTTACACGACCTTGATGTTCGTCTGGATTATCAATGTGTACTTTATTATCTAGAAAAAGAGATCCGATTAAGAGAATTATTATAATTTATATATTTAAAATTTATTAATTTATTACCTGAATATAATTGTAAAAATTCAGTAGGAAGGGGTGGTAATGATGAAATTTTCTTTTTTCTATGGAAATATGTATGTTGATTATAGATATATAATTTAAGAAATGCTTTTAAAAATTTAAAATTACTTTATTGTTTGATTAAGATTTTCATCAGAAAATTTCCTTTTTACAAGCGCATTTGATAAAGGATTTCCATTATCATTATCATCATTGTTGTTGTTGCTATCTTCCAGAATTTCTTCAGATGATGAATCATATTCTAAAATATTATCCATTATTTTTGATTTCTTAAATTGTAGATCTTGCTTTTAAATTCTTTTCGTGCGTGACGCAGTAATTTCTGTAGCATTATTTATTTTATTACCTTTCACTCATTGTAAGTATTGCGTACTTGTGGCTTTTCAGACACCAAATATTATTTAGAAAATCTTGGGAACTACGGAGGTTTTGTAACACGTACATTCTCAACTATGTTCTTATTAGATAGTGAACAGTTAGTATTCAGAGATGGTTACAATTAAGAAAATTCTCAGTGGACCTATGGATATTGTTTAAACATTCAATATAGACTTCCTCTTTTATAAATATAATAAATTTATAATTGCTAATGATCCTATTTCATTGTTGGCAGAATGAATATTGTGCGAATATAATTTTTTTCTACTTTCAAACTTTACAACAATAGATTAAAGGCAATGACGAGGAAAATAAAGTTACGACGAATTTTAAAACTGACTATGTGAAATTCAAAAGGCAAACAGGCGTGGTTATTTGACTGTGGAGCGATTTTTACTTAGCATGCGAGGTATATTTATTTATGTAGCGTAAAAAAAGTAAAATCAAAAAATCAATCATGTCATAAAGATGTGTCTTTTTGTGTTTTTTAAAGATGAACCTAAAAACACAAAAATGCGTTTCTTTAAAAGCCCAGCGAATTCCAATTGGTTGTCTGCTGAAATATATCTGACAGCAGAATAACTTTTACTTGGTGGTGTGCGAGGCTTGTTTTTTTAAATAAAATAATTTACTCTTTTATTTAATAAGGAAAAGCATCCTATATTATTCTGTTTAAAATATTTCTTTTTTCGCAGAGAACATGGCTAGTTTGTCATCAAACGTACACCATTCACCACCCATTAAATCCAAACAGACAAAAGCGCAGAAAGTGATAAAAGAGCCAGTAAAAATTCGTTCAGCCGGTAAAGAATGTGGTGCTGTTTTTGCTGATAATGGCTCTACTGGAAACCAAATAAATATTAATGTGTTAATATCTTAAACTGAACGACAGTAATAGAAACTATCTTGACATTTTTGAGTTTTGTATGTCAAGATCACGCATCCCATCGTGACAAGTTTCTACTACAGCTAATGTTCTTGTTTCGTTGTCGATTATTATTTAATGGTTTTTTAACATAATATAATGCAAGTCACTTAATCACTGACTCTATAATTGGGAGTGACACGGAATAAAACAAAAAATCAATTTCAATAATAATTAATCTTAAAACCAAGGAAAATAGTGATAACGATGATGATGATGCGCTTTTGCTACCACAAGTAGACCAAAAAAAAAATAAAGGCAACAATAAAACATCCAATAATACAAAAAGAATGAATGAATATGAATCCTATCAAATTCTTATTTTTATTTTTATTTGTTTAATTTATTAATAACACTACACAGGTCTTGTCTTAATTATATCTTCTACTTGGCTTTTTTTTTTCCAGCACACAAAATTTGTGCGCTGGCTGTCTCATATATAAAAAGCTCGTGAATAATAAGTGTAACAAAGAAAAATTAACATGAATGTTGTCTGTGAAACGTGAACTCGATACCAATCCCCTCCCTTCCTTTCTAGAACTTGTCATTCAATAATGTCTCAGCTAACTTCTGTAATTAAAAGGGCAGGACCTTCTTTGCACTCTGCTACTGTTATATTTTTACATGTAAAAATTGTTTATCCTTAATATATTAAGTATGTAAATAATAAATGTTCAAGAATTAAAAAAAATTATATATATTGCTTTATGGTATAGGGTTTAGGTGATAGCGGACATGGATGGGAACCAATTGCTACAGAAATAGGTGAAATAATGAAACATGTAAAATTTGTGCTACCAAATGCGTAAGCTTATAATAATGATATTAATATATAAAGAATAATTGCAAAGATTTAATTTATTTGAGATTTGCCTTGTTGATATAGACCAATACGTCCAATAACTATTAATATGGGTATGAGAATGCCTGGATGGTAATAATTATGACATGTTTCTTATCCAGATAGAATTGAATATAACAAACAATTAATCATTATAAATTATATCATAGGTTTGATCTTACAACTCTAAATCTAGATCAAATAGATGGTGGTGTGGATGAAGATGGTGTTATGGAAACTCTCTCTCAAAGTATAATATTAATATTTATGTTAATATTATCAATGTTATTGATATTGGAAAAAATATTTATTGTTTATTTATTTATTTTTCAGTAAAGAAATTGATAAAAGATGAAATTGACTCTGGAATTGTTTCTAATCGAATTGTTGTTGGAGGGTTTTCTCAAGGAGCTGCAATAGCTCTTGCTACAGGGGTAACATCAGAATATCCTTTGGCTGGCATAGTTGGGTAAAAGTATTCTCTTATACTCTATCTTCTTTTTTCGTCTTTTGATCAAAAATTTTTAAAATTGTAAAGTTTTATAAAAATAATAGATTAAGTGGGTTTTTAAGTATGGAAGAAAAGATTATTCAGGTTAATTGTTATTATTATTATTACTACTACTATTGTTATTATTACTACTATTACTATTATTACTATTATTATATTATTGATTCTTTAAAATTTTTATATTTAATATATGTTTAAATAAATGAATATTTAGATGTCCACTCAAGCAAATAAGAACACACCAATATTTATGGCTCATGGTGATAGAGATATGGTATATGATTATTGTTAAATGATAAATCAATGCAATATAATCATTAATATATATTTTTATATATTTTTTATTTTATAGGTTGTAAATTATAAATTTGGTAAACGGACTTCAGAATTTCTTAAAAATAATGGTTACAACGTAACATTTAAAACTTATAATGGAATGGGCCATTCTTCTTCAAATCAAGAAGTTTATGATCTAACTTCCTTTCTGAAACAAGTTATTCCTTAAATTTGTTCAAATAAAAAAACCAAGGCATACTGCAAAATGAACATTTGTACTACAAAGAATTTCATATACACTAATACACATCTAAACTCAATTAAGTCGGACATTTATTTATATTATAAAGTACTTTAAACAATTGATTGCTGTGTCCGACTTATTGAGTTTAGATGTGTACTAATATGATATAACAATTTTATCTCCTATATGGTTTTCCCACCAAATTGAGAGCATTATTTCCTAATATGAAAATGATCTTTGTGGTTCAAATGGCTATAAAAAAGTTCAGACAACTTTAAAATTTGGTCTTCGTTTTGCCGATCATGGAATTGACCAATAAGAATTCAAATTTTATGAAGATCCTTGCTAAGATGGAAACCTTTCCTAAACAAAATTTTTTATCAGTCATCCTAAAACCGTTAATTTGATGGATAATATTTATCTGTAAAAAAACAAAGACAGAGATTATTGATTATAAAGAATAACCAAAAATTCATTCATAAACTAACTGTATCATTATAAACTTTTTATAAAATACCTTCCTTAATTCTATTTTTTATAAATATCCTTAATTTGACAAGAATTAACTGAACAATCAAAATGAAATTCAATATTTCCCTTCTATCATTGCTGTTGTTTCTTTAGCAAGGTCATTTGGCCATAGTTTGAAGAAACATAAGTGTTTCATTATGGTGTGCCATAATGCCATAATGGACTTATTAACTGGGTCATCTCTGAATTTATTTTTTAATTGAATACAAGCAATATATATCTTGGATATGAACTTAATCAATAACTGGACCTTTTCCAATATAGAGCCCTATTACAATTAATATCATTTCATTTTATTTAAATAACAAATAGCTGGTACAGCCAATGTCATTATTTTTGAACTGTTAATGTTAAATAATAAATAGTTGGTAAATATTTTTATCATCATTATATTACAGTCAATAGTATTGTTTCTGAAAAAAATATTAACTGTTGATTTCATTTTATTTCAAATAGTAAATAAGCTGTAAATATCTTATATTTGCTCTTTGATTCTCTGATAATTTCATTTGTTATTTTAACTTTTATATTCCTTTATTACAATAATTTTTCTAAGGAATGAAAGAATTACTTATGAAAAGAAAAACCATAGCCAGTAAAAGGACTTTGCCACTAAACTATAAAGGATTTAGAAAATTACAAGAGAAATAATTTACTACCTAACTTAACATAAATGAGCATGTTTTCATTATCTTTTAAAGGTTAACGAGATTATAGATAGATTTGATAAAAAAAGAATTAGTGTGGTTTGTTTGGCTTCCTTGGGTTTTACTTCAATTATTTCTTCTTAAGTGATTTTTCTTGCTTATCTTTTTTGTAATTTATTCTTTTTTCTTGGCAATGCTGGTAAATTGCTTGTAATTCTTGTTTTAGTTGCTGAATTTATTGTGCATGTTGACTTATCTCCTGATTCTTAACTATTTCTAATTGCTCTAATTTCTCAGCTAAATGTCTTTCTCTTCATTCTTGGGCTACTTCTAAGGCTTCAAGGTGAGTTTCAACATCTAATCTAGCCTCTTTAGTTTTTTGCTTTCAGTCTTTAATAGGTTCAATAGTTTTAATTATTTGGTTCTCTCTTCATTTCTTAATTGTTTAGGGAGTGCCCAAAATGATGTCATTTGGTTTGGGGTGAGCTTCCAACATTACACATAATATGATCCAATAAAATTTTCATAATAATTTCATCATATTTGATTTTATCACAGGAAAATTTTTTTGTTACATGTAAATTTATAAAGGGTAATATTATATACAGAAAGGTTCTTTTTATGAAATATATAGTTCCTATGCGACAAATAAGAATTAATTCTTAGAGTTGGTAAGCACTCCGTAATTCCTGCCACCACAGCCCACAAATTTAATTATCACATCATCAATAAAATGTCGCATTGGTTTTACAAAATTTTTGAGCTACAATTTAGTTTCTTTTTTTGTAGAATTAATTGCCACTTTTGTAGGCTCCGTATATTCCACATCATATGCGGACAATTTCCAGGTAGGTCTGACCTTTATCCCTGTATTCGGAGGGATACAGCTTTAGCCTGGCAAGGG